AAACCACAAAGACTCCTGTGTCATGTTAAAGACTAACACATTTATTGTGGCTCAGTAAGCTTTTGTGGACTGCCTAGAATCTTCTTTATCAGATGCACAGTCATCCACATCGCTGTCTTGAAGAAGCAAGCGCTACCCTGCAACAAACTGGTTAGTTTCTAAGTGACATACAGGTCTTTGTTTCTCACTACAACTCACAGAGCAGCCATTCCAGATTTTGCCAGTAGAAGGGCAGGGATGAAGAACAGTCCCATAGGACGGGACCACAGAGAAGCTCTTTGCGCCAGGCACCAGCCCCACTCTGTGCCAAGATGATGGGTTAGCAGGGAAGCTGCTTCCAAAGCAAGCGACAAGAGACAGTGTAGCCAGCTGGACAAGGCACAGCAGAGCAAAGAGCTTAAATGATCAGAGGACTGCATATTACTATAGAGGAAATCCGTGCTGACGTCAGCAGAAGAAGAGAGGTGGTGAAGCTGGCATTGTTGTTTCTGCCACCAGACTGGGGATATTGATGGGAAAGGGGACAGGGAGCTGGGCCTTTTGTGCAAAGGCAGACTCACCCACCAGGCATCAATATGCCCAGGATGGCAACAAGGTCTCCCAAAGCATCGCGTGAAATGCTTACCATCAGCCACATAAAGTAGCTTAAAAACTGAAACTTGCCTTTATCCATCCAAGACCTGTCTGTGGTTCACCTGGCCTGAGAAAGACGCATGCCCCCCCCCCCACTAGCCACCCACCTTGGCAGGGCTGCCTACAGTCCCGTCTCCCCCCCCCCCATTGTGGAGGCTGGGGGAATGGATGGCATTGCTGCCTCTGAACAGCGGTGGCCGAGGAACTGCACCAATGGGCAGGCAGGAGGCGGCAGGTGGAGGGGGAGGCAGCACAGGGAACTCATTTACCCAGAGTAAAAATAGGCTGGAAAATGTGACATTTATTAAGTATGATTGTGGAGGAAAGGTCATCGCCAGCCCCAGCACCGAGATGGGGGTGCCTCTGATTATACGGCTGGGAAACGAGGCGGCAAAGCCAGGCTGAGCAACAGCAATTGGGGGGGGGGGCCTGGAGAGAAATGCGTGATGATCCCTTTGTGCTTCGAGCCCACAATATACCAGGCAGGGATCCCTGCCGCTCGAGCCTGGGATGCCACAGGATCAACATCTGCCCACGCTCCCCCTCCATGGCCCTGACCCCACCCTCACTCTGCACGCGCCTGTCCTCCAGTCTCAGTCAAAACACTCCTTAGGAGAAGCCCAAACAAAGCCGCTAATGCAGCAACAGCCATTCCCACCAAATCCCTTTTGAAATTCTGGACCACAAAAGCCGAAGTGCAGCCAACACTCCGTTTGGCCACCGCTGTCCTATTCACTCACCCCTCCAGCTCCTCCGACACCCTGCTAGCCTGAACCACAACACTTCAAAGCCCTGCCCCCCCATTCCCTTCCCTGCCCAGGGGCAGCCCCCTTGCTCAGGACACTTTCTCACGGAGGGCTGCCTTCTCGCTGTCCTCCCCAAATACCCCTGGTCCTTGTGGCGACGGCGAGTGTTTGGGAAGCCCCCTCAAACGACCTCTCAAATAGAGGGGGCCAGGCCAGCAGCAAAGATTCTTTTTTCTTATTCTTTTTTTTTTTAAAGGCTCTTGACATCGATTTCAATTTTTAGAAATGCATTAGCCTCCCCTCCAAATGCTGAAAACGGAACCCCTGCAGAGCAGGTGCCAGCTGGGTAATTGTTCTCTTGAGTGTGCAGGGTGGTGTGCCTGAACACATTCCCAAAGCGCCTCTCCCTCCCTCCCACCGATCTACACCAATTCTCCTTGCCCACGGCCAAAGCAGCCCCTCTGCCAAGCAAACGGTGTCCCCTTGCACGCCACCACGGGAGAAAAGGCCTGACACTCATGTGCCAGCACTGATGGGCAGCCGATGGCCTGCCCCGCAGAGGGGATTTTCACTGGCAGCGCCAGGACCAGACCATCTTGGCTAGCGGCAAGGCTGGGTCAAGGGTAGAGGGTGACGACTTAGGGGTCACCGAACGAGGATGATGGGCGGAGGGAGGGACCAAAGAAGGGCCAGCTGAGCCACGAACCATTCCGAACAGCCCAAGAGGCTGGCCAGCTGCTGCTCCGGCTAAGCACCAAAGAGGTTAACTCTCCAACCCTTCTTTGGCTTCCTGGATAGAAGCCCGTGACCCTTCCGTGCCCCTGCCGAAGGGATCCTGGGAAAGGGAAAGGGCTGAAGCGCAACATGCCAGGGCCTGGCTTCCCCAGCTGCCACGGGGGGAGCGCAGGACTGCCAGGGAACCTCCTGTCCGGCAGAGTACAAGGAGGCCATTGATCCCCCCGGCACAATTCAAGCCGTGTGTGGGGGGGGTTCTGCCTAGCGCGGCCTGAGAGTCCAAGGCAGACGATGGGAGGGCTCACACACTGATGAGTTCAGTATCCAACACAGGGGAAATGGTGGACTACGAGGATTCCTGTCTTCCAACCAAGCCCCCTTCCTGCACAAACACAGGCAGAGGGAGCAGAGGAGGTGCGCAGCCGACCGGCCAGTGCTGGGAGGGAGACTCCCTGCAGCTCAGCCAGGGCCCGTCAAGATTTACTACGCTGGCCGGGCTTTACTGCACACGAGATGCTTACGCGGGGAATTTTCCCAGCGGCCCCTTAGTTTGCCTTCCCATAAAGAATGTGGATTTGTGACGCTAAATAGAGGGAGATCATTTACCAAGCACCGCTCTTACTTACAGGATCTTTAAAGGGGATCCATCATGCGATGCAACAACGCGGACAGCTTGGTGGCAAGAGAACCGCCAGAGCGGCTGTAGGCAGCAGCTGCAGCAAGGGAACCTGACCCACGCCAGCCACCACGGCGGGGCCCTTTCAGACGGCACTGTCCCCACGTCTCTGACTTTCCCCTATGCTCACTTCCTTTCCTTTTTGCCCATGCCTCAGCACAGGCAAGTGCAGAGACTGCTGTTGAAATGGACAAAAAGAGACTCAAAGGCCCCGTTCTCCTCTTCCTTGTGGTGGGCCGCCCTGGACCATATTCCCTGAAGCCACATATCACAGCCATATCTTTGGCACTGGACTGCTGCTGCTGGAAGACACATTTCCATCCATCAACGTTCTTCCCCAGCATGCAATCTCCACACCAATGGCACCATGGGCACAGCTATCTATATTCCACGATACCAACAAGCACAGAATTTGATACTGGATCATAGCGGAGCATCCAGAGAAGCAAAGCTTTTATTTTTGTTTTTAAAAAAGCATGTTTCTAGTCCTTCAAGAGGCAGAGGCTCAAATAGATAGGCAACACCTAGTAAAATCTCCGGTTCAAGCAACACATTACAGGAGAGATCTGTGAGTGGATTTCCCAATTACTACTTTGTAACTGAAACGCAGTGGCAGGAGGCAGCCAGTTTTTTTTATTTTTTTAATAATGAGAGACTTTAACCCTCTCCGTACTGTTTTCCCTGTCAGAATACCCCCTGCCCAGACTCCTATTTGTCCTGTGGGGAGAAAATGTAGACCTGTGTTTTTTCTCCCCTGCAGGACAAACAAAAATCTGGCTGAGAAAGTGAAACACCCCTCTCTCCTGATTGTATATCAGTAATAACAACAAAGGATCTTGTAGTTTGAATGTTAGAAGCTTGTGGTAACTGTGGTGACCAGAACAGGATTTCCAGTGGTCAGAAGCCAGGGCTTAATTTACATGATGTTTCCAGGTTCTACAACCTGGAGGACAAAATTTGGATTTGTGTGTGTGTGTGTATGTATGTGCACACTTGGGTGCGTGCATGTACACACACACACACATGCACTGTGGTGACTGCTGCCTTTCCCTCTGCACTCCAGCCTAATATTCTGACACAGTTCACAAGGGTTTCAAGCAGGAAAGGACTTTAAACAAGCCCTGCTAGCTGTGGGGCAGGATTTCCAAGGGGCCACAGGGGAAGGTGTGCTCCTGGATTCCCAACCTCATGTTCCCATGGCTGTGCTGTACCGGACATCTAGCGGCAAAGCAGAATCTTGGGGACAGGAGAGAGTTTGTGTGGCTACCCTGGCCAGGAGGCCAACCTCTGACCCATTGGATGTGTGTGTTTGTGTGCAACTTCTCCCTCCAGCCACAGCTTGTCAGCTTCTTCCTGTCCTGCAGCACCCCCAATCACTCCCCACCCCTCCACACAAAGCAATCGGGAGGCAAAGCAAGCCTCCGGTGTCCGTAGGGGAGAAGCAGCTCATTTCCAGAGTCATTATGGTCTGAAAAGGGTCCCATCAGGTATTCCGCCCGCTCAGCACATTTATTTCCCCAAACCACAGCGGGATTTGTGATTTTCAGACTCAATATTAGAGCAAGTGCGGGACTGGCTCATTCCACCTGGCGGGAAGCATCCGTGATAGTACAAGCCGGTCCACAGCAGACAGAAAGCACCAAGAGAATGGCAGAGTGGCTGCTGTATAGCCCCGGCTGGGACTTGGACAGTGCCACTATGGGCACGGAGGGGTGAGTGTGGTCTTCCTGGAGCAGAGAGAAGCACTTCTTCTTCCCCAGCTCATTGTAATGAAATGCCAGAACCTCCGGTTGCCTCCTGCACCCACCCAGGCACCCCCTCTCGTCTGCTGTAGGCATCCTGAGAGCTTACGGTTTCCCTGCTCATAACTCACAGGGTTATCTGCTCCTATTTCCCTTCACATTACATGGTGATCTAACCTACTTGGATGAGAATGGTTGTCCAGTCTCAGACGCGGACAGTACCTTTAGTGCCCAAAAAGCTTGCGTGCACACCTCCCCCCCAGGTCTTGCATGCTGCCTGAAAGCTGGCACGGTATCCTATCACCCACGCCTCCAGAGCCCTATTCTCTCCCAGAGAGAAACTTGAGTTGTAATTGCAAACTCAGTTCCGGCATGAACTTCAGCAGCATCAAGGCATCCAGTCCCACCACTGCTTTACGGAAGAGGAAGAAAAGTGCAGGGCAGGGCAGGGGCAGGGCAGGGACTCACCACACTGAAGTTCTCCGCAGAGCAGTTCTCCCCACTGAAGCTGCAGTTCTTGAGCATGTCGTCCAGCTGGTGTCCAGTGCGGTTGACAATGTCAGCCATGTCTGGGTCGGGGTAGAGGAGGTCTGAGGCCTTGTGTCCATCGCGGTCCTTGGGTGGCAGTCCAGTCATGTTGGCCAAATGGAAGATATCGGCATCAGTAAGCGCCGAATGGCGGAAGCGGTTGATGTTGCAGATGGTGACAGCCGGGAAGATCATCTTGTGAGTGGCCTCTTCATCCAAGCTGGTGACGTGCGGGTGCTCGAGGTAGAAGAGCGCTGACCGGGCGGCCTGGTACAAGAAAAAGGCCAGCGAGGCCACGAAAGCCAGTGCCCAGAGGGCCTGCCGGATGCCCAGCTGCCCGGAGTGGCAAATGTGGCCGAGGCCGTGCAAGGTGCTGGTGCCCGCAAAGGCAGCCGGGGTCCGGTGGCGTGGCCGGCTGGGCTCCTCTAGCAAGCTCTCCTTGTCCCCTTCCTCTTTCGCCGCCTGCTTCTCATCCTCCTCTGCAAATTTGATTTTGCAGACAATCTCAATCGGCATCTGTGCCGAGGCACCAGGCAGCACACTACCCCCCCAGAGAGGGGAGGCAGCGGGAGCCTGGGGTGCCCGGCACCGGCCGCTCTCCCCTGGCTGCTGCAGGACGCCCCTAAACCAGCAAGCCCACTGGAGGAGGAGGAGGAGGAGCAGGAGGAGGAGGAGGAGGAGGAGGGGGAACCTGGCCCCAGTCCCCCAGGAGCTCCTGGCCGGCGGCAGCGGTGGCTCGCCTCGCCTCTTGTCTCACTAGTGATCTCCTCCTGGTGCCTCCTCCGCCGCCGCCGCCTTATCTGCACGAGCCCAGCTGTCACAGAGCTCCCCGCTGCTCCCCTCGCTGCTGCTGCCGCCGTGTGTGCCGCTCCTCCGCACGCCCCGCGAAGACCCCGCCAGACACGGGCAGCATTTAGGCATCGCGCGCTAATAAAATCCAGGGGAGACTTAATAATTCAGGCAAGGGGTGTGTGTGTGTGCTTTAAAAGATAAACAAAAATAGCAAGTGTAAAACTCAGCCACACGCGCACCATACTCTGGGAGGACTCCCGCTGGTTCATTCGAATATTCAATCAGCGCTGCTCTGAGTGAGGAGCCACAAGCAGGGCGAACAGAACAGGCTTCCGAGTTGCGCAGGTAGATGCACTCGCTTGTGCCGTCCATGACAGGCTGAGCGGCTAGACCGAGAGCGCCAGAGGGGGATTCTAATCCCCCCCCCCAACCCACACACCCCCTCCCCCTCGGAACTGCCACGACGTGACGAAACCCGGATGCTTCCCTGGGCAGAATTCTGGAGCCGAGAGACCGCTCGGCGTCGGGAAACGAATGTACGCGAGCAGCAGGCAGCTTCTCCAAACCCTTGGCCGAGGAGGGCGGCGGCGGCGGCGGCAGGGGGGAAAAGTTGAGCGGGGCGACGCCAGGCGAGCCGGGGCTGCTGCTCGGGTCCGGCGGGCAGCGCTGCGGCCCCCTCCTCCCCTCCCGGGCTGACTAATTGGAGGGGGAGCGGCCAGCGAGGGGAGCGGGAGACGCCCCCCCCCTCCTAGCCTATCGATCCCGCTCCCCGCGGAACAAGCAGGAGGCAAAAAGTGAAAGGCCCATCGATCGGCGGGGGGGAAGGAGGGAGGGAGCGCGGCGCGGCGGCTGGCGGGGAGGCGGGCCGGGACACCACCGCGGCGGCACTGCCCAGGGAGCCTGCCTGCCGCCCTCGCCTCTCCGGAGGCACTTTGGCGGCTTCGGCACAAGGCTCCGCTGCTCCCCTCCTCCGTCCCCGCGGCTGGCGAGCAGAAGTGGGCCGCGCGGCCGCGGGCCCGGCGGGGAGTCAGGTCAGGGGAGAAGGACAGAGGCCCGCCCGCCCGGGGATGCCGCCGGGCAGGGCTCCAGGCGGAGGCGGGGAAGTTCGGGGGAGCTCTGCGCCGAAGCCGAAGCCCGTCTCCCGCACGTCGGGGGAGCGGCCGGGCGCGGCGTCGGCTTCTGGTCCGCCGCGCCCAGGCAGGCGTCCCCGAGGCCTTTGGTGGCCTGGCCGGAGCGCGTCCTTCCGAGCCTGACGCCGCCGCCTGCATGCCAAGCAGGGCCCCCGGCCGCGCCCTCTCGCCGGCGAGTGCCTGACGCCAGCAGCCCCGGCCCGCGGCCCTCCTCTCGCCTCCCGGGGCGACGCCACGCGGCCTCCCCCACCACCACCCCGGACACGGCTCGGCCGGTCGCCGCCACCTTCCCGCCCGTCCCCGCGGGCGGG